AAGGAGCTCATCATTTCTCGGTTATATCAGTGGGTGCTGCTGTTAATGTACTCGACAAGTAATCAAAAAGTAGGCTGCATGCATATTTATAGCTTACTTATGGGTGGGTCACGGGTGGATATAGCAAAAAAATATAGCAAACAAAACTTGTTTCAAAAAGATATTTTTTTCCAAGACAAATATACAAATTATATTTTTGTTTGTATCTCCACTACTCAACTATACGGGTGGATGATTTTTTCGCTCTGAGGAAAATTTAAGGATTGCTTCAGCACTCAAAAAAATGGATCATGGCTTTAGTTGGTCCAAAGAATGTAACTATGTTCAAACTAAACAATTCACTTATGTTTGTCTATTAAAACCAAAAGAGTTGTGTTGGGAAAAATAGAAAAAGTCAATTTTCAAATTTAAACAGCTCACTTAATTAAGATGAATGAAATGGAGTTGTGTTGCTTCTGCAGTACCGAAATTTTAGTCAATAGGTTAGTTGTTATTTCAAAACAACAGAGAAAGGAAGATTCAAACCACAACAATCGCTCTCATTATTTGGGAATCAAAAGAGGAAGGTTACAGTAAAAATTTTGAATGTTTAGTGCACTGAAAAAATATGGGTGATTTTAACAGTAAAAGTCTTTACAGTCCACAGTGAAAATCTGTTCAATAATTAGCAGCTCATTTCTGTACAAAATACGAAAAATAACTGTAACAGATTTAACCTTTGTTTTCCAGAATGGAATCAGAGTGTCTGAAATCTCACTATACACCCTCATTCACTAGTCCCTAAATTAGTCCATTAGTTTAGTCCACTAGACAGAGTGAATGACCACAATGAGTGAATACAGACACTGATGAACAGCTGCTGTAGACAAGCTCAATCACTGAAAGAAAGAACAAGACCTAAACACATACAGACGCAGCCTCACACTAAACAAACTGAATTAAAACGGAGGATTAAACACCTCCATTAAATAACAACATTAGCAGCTTCACTGATTACAATTTGAACACATTTCTGTCATATCTGCAAGAATTTTTGATAATTTACAGAGGTCTATATACTTTTTGAACATTTTTTCATTTGACCTCACCATCATGGAGATCAGAGGCTGCTTTAGTTGGGCTCTTGATCCTTCACTCTTCTATCTTAATGATTCTCTGTCTGTTATAAATGTGTGTCTGAAACTCATCAGATATAGCAAGGAAGGCAATGAGAAAATATTCTGTACTAAATTTTAACAAATATAATTTCTGGTCTTTTGTAAGTTAAAATATATAAGATATAACAAAAAGAATTGTGAATTTATATCAATGCTGTTAGGGACAATACTTAAGGCTTTTCATTGAAGGTTAACAAATGGAAAAAAAAGGAAATCAATATAATAAAATTATAATTAAGAGTGTCATGCGCGAAAGCTCAAGCAACTACTTAAGACATGCAGGCATCAAGAATCAGGATATGAACCTCATCTATGGTGGCTAAAAAAAAAGCTGTGTAATTTATTCATACTGCAATGCATGCCGGGTGCCAGCATCGTACAAAACTCCCAGCATGCATTGCAGCATGAATAAACTATGCAGCTTAAAGTTCTTACACTTTCGTTCTCTGCCTTTAGTCTATGTTGTTTTTTGGGTGTAATATTTCAGTAGAGGGTTTTGTATAGTTCTGGGTTGTTGTTTTTTTATCATTTTTATTTTTGGTTTGTCACCATTGTTGACATTCAAAAACTAATTGTTGATGTCTGTGTGTTTCTAAGTCCTGCCATAGATCAAACATTCTCATTGTGAATGGTGTATTTAGGGCTGATGCTGCAGTTGTTTTATTTACATATATTGTTAATTTCTTACACCAAGCTAACAAGATTTTCAACAAATAAACAAGCAGGTTTGAATATCATAGTTAATTTCATCAGACTGATTCTTATATATTTTTTGGCTTTTCATGCAATACAAATAGTATGATGAACACATTTAAGTATAGCAACCAATAAATACTAGTGGTAAAACAAGCAGCTGAAGAGCCCAACGAAAGCAGACTCTGTCCTTCAACATGGTGACTTCAAATGAACAACAGAAATGTCATGAAGAGGTTTTGTCCACATGACAGAAATAAAATCAGAGCTCAGTAATAAGTGAAGCTCCTGATGTTAGTGGAGTGGTTTAATGATCTCTGCTAAGATCTTTAGAAATAACATTTTAATTGTTTAATTATTTTGATTATAATTATTTTATTTAGAGTTTTGTTTTCAGTTGATTTCATTCTAGGTTTTGGCTGTAATTTGTGTTTTTCTTTCCTTCAGTGATTCTGCTGTTAACAGTTCATCAATTCATCCTTTAATTAGACACTTAATTGTCTCATTAACTTCATCACTGTCTGAGTGTTCAACCCTCTGTAGTGAGGACACTAGTGAGGATTTTGCTCTGAGATTTAAGGGGTTAAATGTGTTTGATGAAAAATACAGACTGTGGAATGTATTTGATGTATATGTATATGGATTTACAAATGTACATTAGATTACTGGCAACACCTGGCGGTATTTTTCCATAAAATTAACAGTTTTTTTAAAAGTATAAATAAATGAAATCTAAATTATAAATGTTATGTTGATAGAACTAAACATTCAATTTATGTAACTAACTTAAGTTCACTCAAATGAATATTCTTTCTTTAAGGTAACTTAACTGGGTTACGTGGAACCTGTTGACATAAAAAAGTTAATTAAAGCCAACATGTCATTTTTTGAGTGCACCATTGTGGAGGATAGTAGCATCTGTGTGCAAGTCCAATATAAACTAAGGGTAGCTGATGTTGTGCTGCATCTTTTTTGTTTAAAAGTAACTGTGTAGTTACAAGTATAGTGAAAGTCTGTTTGCTAATTGTACACACATGAACACATTAGTGCATTGAATGACTTTACGTTTTTGTGAGATAAACTATGTTTTTGTGAATTAAGCATTGTATCAGTTGATATAATATGGGTATTTTCTGTAAATTTAAACAGTTCTATAAAACTTCTGTAATTTTACAGAAAATTCCTGGCAACCACTGCGGGTATTTTTCAGTAAATTTAACGGATTTTTTTAGTAGTGTAAATAAATTAAAGCTAAATTATAAATGTTGTGTTGATTGAACTAAACAACATTACCTTACCTTTATGTAATTAACTTAAGTTCACTCAAATAAATATTCTTTCTTTAAGGTAACTCAACTCGGTTACATGGAATCTGTTGACATAAAAAAGTTAAAGTCAACATATAATTTTTTTTGAGTGAGTGTAATTGTATCACAAATCTCAGTTATATATTTGCTAATTTTGAAAAATGTAATTATTTTAAAGATTGTGTATGAGCATATGATTTTTCCTTGCTGCTTATCTGCTTTCAATAATCCGTCTCTCTCGCTGCAAGTTCAGGCGAGGGATTGTTTATTTAGAAACCCATGGCAGGAAAATATACATTTATAGTTCAAATAAAATAGCTTAACATTAAAAAAGCATCTCTCTTGTAAAAAAGTACATCTGAAAATTCATGTCTAACAACAACAGCCTAATTTAACTTTAATATGCTTCAAAATTTACTTTTGGTTCTTCACACCTTTTTATTGGTCATTTTTTCTTTTAAGAATAAGGTACAAGATTTAAAATACAACATTTTTATCTCTATTTAAAAACAATACAGTAGGTCAGTAATTGAAAGATGACTGCACTAACATTAAAGCCTTCTTCGATTAGTTATTTTCACAATAATGGCATAACAGTCAAAATATGGCAAATGAGCTTATGTAGGGACAAATTCTGGACCTTTGTCAGTGGGCGGGGGGTTGGGTCTTTTGAGCAACCCAGCACTGGGAAACACCCATACACTCTTGCATTCACACCCTTACATTGCCAATTTAGCTTTTTTAATTTACCTATAGCGCATGGGTTTCAACAGTATCTGGATGCAGCCTTTATGATGCAACCTGAGATTGCATCACTCAGCAACGCAATGTCAGACACAATGCACTCAAATGGAGCGAGTTACATCACTGTGAAGGGTAGGGCTAGGGGTGGGGTTAGGTGAGCCCATTAAAAAGCACTGGATGCAGCTCAGATTGCACTGCAGCAGGTCTGCATCCAGACCCCTTTCATGTGTTTGAACTTAAAAGGGAAACTGGATCACCAGAAGTAAACCCACATGATCATGGGGAAAACATGCAAACTCCACAGAGAACCGCCAACTGACTCAGCCGGGGCTTGAACCAGCGACCTTCTTACTGTGAGGCGACAGTGTGATGCTACCCACACTACCCTACTAAAATGAGTAATGAAAAAAAAATTCATTGACAAAGTATAAAAATAAAATTATTAAGCACATTATATGCTTCTGAGTAAAGAATACAGCATGTTTAGCTGTATGTGTAAACTGCCATCTAAAGTCTATTATTGTATAGTTAATGCTTAACAAATGATTACCTATTTACAAATTAATTATTTGCTAATGCTTAAATTATTTGTTGTGTCCAGTTAATTTAAAGCGTCACCAAAAAGTGTAAAAGGGTCTCCAAGGTCCATATTTAAAAGTTTGTTCAGATAAACATCCTGGAAATTTTTGTTCTACAACATGAGCCTTCGTGTCATTTGTTACCAGGTTGTATAAAATAAATGTAGTTTCTGTTCATCAGAATACCAAACTGTGGACATGTTTTTACAATTTTTTATAATTCGTAGAAAAATTAAAAATAAAGGAAAGAAAAACGAAACCGAAACCATGAATCACGCTCCTAAACAATAACGTTATAAAGGCCAACAACTAAATGTGATAGTGTCAAGGCTGATACATACGTCTTTTACATGTAAGTTACCTCAAAAACAATGATCTTTATGGATAATGTTACATCTCACCGTTAGGACCAAGATTCTTAAACTTGACTCAGCGTAGGAGAAACCAAACTATTGGTTGCCGAATTCGAACTGGTGTAAAGTGGCTTATTTACTTGTAGATAAAAAGTATAATAAGCATACCTCTGCATCATGGCTTATTGCTTCTGAAGTTTCTTTGAGCGATGCCGTGATATTGGGTAAAGTCTAGATCGGATATGCGGCCGGTGTTCCGGAGAAATTGTTCCCCTTTTCCCCATTCACAGCGCATGCGCAACTTTACACTGCGGTCAAGCCAGCCGCGGTTCGGAAAAAGTCAAGCCAGCCGCGCTTTATATTTCGGTGCGCGCGTATTATTATCATTACGGTAATGTCAGTAGCCACACAGAAAGCGCTCCACAGAGCACCCATTTCGCCCAGAACAGAGATAACAACGAAATATAAGTTACTACGGAACCCCGGAAGGGACGTAGTGGAGGAGAAAAAAATTGGCTGGGTGAAAAAAAATGGGTGAAAGAAAAAATAGGTGGGAGGAAAATATATATTTCTAAGTTTTTGCTTTCTCTCGCAAAGTTTTGCGTTCCCTCTCAAAGATGTTTTGCGTTCCCTCGCAAAGTTTTGCGTTATCTCGCAAAGATGTTTTGCGTTCCCTCGCAAAGATGTTTTGCGTTATCTCGCAATGTTTTGCGTTCCCTCGCAAATATGTTTTGCGTTATCTCGCAAAGATGTTTTGCGTTCCCTTGCAAAGATGTTTTGCGTTCTCTCGCAAAACTGTTTCTCCACAAACACTTCCTGTTCACTTCAGTCACGTAAACCCTCCCGTTTTTGCTGAAATTCTCCCATATTTTACCATTCTACCCCACTTTCTTTACATTACTGTGCGCTGATCGTCGCCTTTCACTTTGTAACCTCTGAACCAGTGAATGCATGTATAAGCGCTGACTGACAGACGCGCTTCGTACAATAAACTGATCCCAGATCAGCGTCTGTACGAGCCATTTAAAGGGATACTTCTGTAATAAAACTGGTGAGCAGCAAATGAATCTTATGTTTTGTTTAGTTTGATAACAGTGTCTCTGTAAGAATGCACTATGCACAGATCTATAATGAAAGCAGTCCATTACTTTAGAAACTGTTTGTGCTCATTTAAGAGAAAAAAAGCTGTTTAAAAACCAGGGGGGATATAAATTACAAAAAGCACTTTAAATTTAAAGCAAGGTCACAGTGATGTTTCCAAGATCACATACAATACAGTCATCGGAGTATTATAAAAAAGAAAGAATATTGTAAGATTCACATAGTGTTACGGATTTTAAAGCTTTAACATTGCTGGAGGTAGAGATTGTATTTAAATAATATTTCAAATCTTTACAAAAAAATAAGAAAAAGGGGCTTTACAGACAAAAATTTGCATTTATGTATAAAAAATTTTGCTAGTAAAATAAACAGATTTATTAGAAAATATTTATCTTTAACTTTATCAACATGATAAAAAACCAAATAAAACATCCTTGTATGACAAAGAAAAATTATATAAAAGAGATACACGTATAAATAAACTGAATTCTTTCCAAAAAATCTCAATATGGGTACATTCCCAAAAAAGATGATCTACAGATTCATCTAGAATTCTGCAAAAGGAACAAAGGGGATCCTTTTCCAGAAGCATTTTTTTAATATAAACATTCACTGGATAAACTCTATGTAGCAATTTGAAGGAAACCTCTTTAACCTTATTTGTAATTAGAAATTTGTTGGGTAAAGACCACACAATCTTCCAAGGAATGTCATAAAATAAATTACTCCAGTGAAATATGACATGTGGAGTAGAGGTTATTTCATTCTGAAAAAGTTGCCGAATCTTTCTATTTCTGAGAGAAGGGTTATGCGAGAAACAAATTTTCCCAATCACTGTTTCACAAGCATTAATTAATGAGGTAACAGGGAGAACAGAATGAAGAGAGTTTTTTAAAAGGGTAATTGCTCCACTGGGAATTGCGTCCATAACGATGGCAAACTCTCGTGGGGTTATAGGAATGCAGTATTTACTTAAGAACTCAAAATAAGAGAGTAAATGACCATTATTATTAAAAAGTTGAGAAACCAAGCAAATATTGTTCCTAAACCAATTAGGAAAGAATATAGATTTATTTTTATAACAAATATCATGGTTATTCCAGATATAATACCTATGGGGACTAAAGTTGTGTTTATATATTAAATGCCATGCTAATAATACTTGCTTATGGAAATTGGATAATTTAATAGGAAGTTTGGAGATATTATAATTACATACTAATAAAAAAGGGAGACCACCAACTTTGGAAAAAATATACTTGGGAATTACATTCCAAAGGGAATCAGGATCATTCAAAAATTGCCTCAGCCAATTTATCTTGAAAGTATTATTCATAGAGGAGAAATCAAGAAAGTTTAGACCGCCATACTCAAAACTGTTTATAATAACAGATTTTTTGATATAGTGTCTTCTGTTTTTCCAAAGAAAGTCAAAAAGCATTCTATCAACCTCAGCACAGAAAAACTTGTTCTCAAACAGTGAGAGAGCAGGATATGTTACTCTTGAAATACCCTCAGCTTTGGCAAGGAGTGCCCTCCCTCTTAAAGACAAGTCCCTTTGAAGCCAAGAATTAATTTTTTTGTTTGTTTTGGCAATTACTGGGTCAAAATTTAATTTACTTCTAATATTGTCATCTTTGCAAATAGTTAAACCTAAGTAGCATACTTGATATTTAACAGGGATATTATAAAGAATAGAAGCCGAGCAGGACTTTATAGCAAGCAGCTCACATTTATCTAGATTTAGAGTTAAGCCTGAAGCTTTTGAAAACATTTTAATATAATTAATAGCATGAGGAATCTGTGATTCATCCTTTAGAAAAAGAGTGGTATCATCTGCTAATTGGCTTATGAGAAAATGTTTATCAGCTAAATTAATGCCTTGTAGCATGAAACTTTGTCAGTCACGTGCGTTTGTTGTGTGTGACGTCACACCGGCGCCATTTTTGTGGTATCGCTTTGCTTGACAACTTGAGAGAGACACATAACGCAAGAGAGATACATGCCATAACAAGGTCAAGCTGGAGAAGTACAAGAAAATCGAGAGCACGCGGTACCGCAATAAACTAAACAAACATGCCAGGGATCGTTATTTTGATAAACTGACTTACATGCAGGGTATAGATCTGTTTGAATGAACTGCAAACCAACGGAGTGCGCTGCCGCCGACTCCTCATTGCTGATAATAATGATATGTCATTCTTTATATCATCAATGTCTTAATATACATTGTTTTAGTTTGAACATCATTAAACTACAGTATTTGTAATTATGTGTAGCATTTTTTTGTTTTATTTCATTAGATACATCTAAAACTTACATTTACAAACTATTGGATAGATGTTTGTATCCAAAGTATTTTACAAATATGAACCATAAATGTAATGAAAGCAACAGAACAAAAAATGTAAATATTATTATTAATTTTATTTAGTCAAATACAATGAGTGCATAGATAACAAGATTAAATAAAATAAACATTAGATAAAATAATACACCCAAATATTAAGATATGTTGAACACAAATACAGATATTATGATAAAAGCTGAAAACCTGTAACTACTGACTTCCATTGTATTTGTTGGTTTTTCTATAATTTCAATTACAGATTTTTAGCTTTCTTTATGATATCTTTATTAGTGTAAAGAGAAAAAAATAAACTCATAAAGGTTTAGAACCACTTGATGGCAGGTAAATAGTAAGTCACTTTAAATTTGTGGGTGAACTATTTAGCTCAAACTACTG